GGAAAGTCTTCACTGGATTCTATATACACAGGATCGCTACACAATATAGTGTATAAAACAGATAACATTGCATGTACATGGAACACTGTCATCCTTAATGGCGGACATGGATATTTCGGAGTAAGACACTCATCTTATTGCGTCTCATGTTCGGCATAAATTTTGGTGAGAACACAAAGATATTCAAAGTATTTTTTTTATGAACAATATTAATCTATTGCAACGTATTTAAAACAATATTTGTGTACCAAACATTACCAACATTTTTCAATATGTACTGATCCGTCGCTAATAACCCCAGCGGTTGATGCGAATTGATGAATAAAAAATTAACAATTCGAAGAAAACAGCAGATGAACTCGCAGAAAACAAACTTTTCTCCTCTGATATCATTGTTATGCACAATATGCAAATCACTAGGAAAAATAATGAATGAAATAATTAGCATCTAATTACAGAACAAGCAAGATTTCGACCTCGTAGATTCATCCAGACAACATAATGAACCTAAAGGGCCTATGAAGACTTCGCTAATGACCAAAAATTGACCTATCTGAATAACTATTAGATTGATGCATTCATTCAATGAGAAAAGGTACGCCTTGTTTCATTTGTCCTTATTTACCTTCAAAGACTTCAAAAAAAAAGTACTTCTCTGAACTAGTCAAGGCAATTCTTTCGTTTGAGACATTTCAAAGTAAATTCTTTCAATATTTTGAATGTGGATTTGTAACGGTTTAAATTTCTGAATTCCGAAAAATCAGGGAGCCGCCATGTAGGTTCGCTATTTTATCAGAATATTGCTGGAATAATGGGTTGTCTATTAAGCAGGAGTAAATAAAACCGAGAAGTAAATAAAACGGTTAGGATTTAGAAACGATTCAGAGGAGTATCTATCGTAAAGCCGACACGAAATCAAGGCTCTAGATAGGGATCGTCCGAAACCTAAAAACATCAAGATTTTTTTGGACAAGAATAATAAGATCACCTGTGAAAGATTCACGTCGAGCACTGTCTGACCTTTTATTCTTTTTTTTTGGTGGTAAAAAAAAGGTTTCAAGGCATATTTATCTGATATATAATTGAAGAAATCCTTCGGAAAAGCTATTCGAGGATTACGAGGAGACATTCTAGAAAGTAGCAACGGAGAATCGTAGCAAGTATAAAAAATATCAAAAATGATGATACCCCGTGAGTAGGAGCCCTGATATTGTTGATATATTTTGGAGCGGTCTGATTACTGAAATCTACATTCATTCCTTGAAATTAGAGGATATTTTAAATTTTTACCTTTTCTCTGTGCACCTAAGACAGCTGTTGACGTGGGTAATTGATAATTATCGAGTTTGATTGTAGTTAATTGAAAAGTAGAGTCTGCATGAATTGAGATTCAGGCAGTTACTTTTAACTACTCATTTGTTCCCTCACTTTCAATTTATGTAGTGATATATCGGTGTCAGTTTAGTACTCGAATATTTTGATTCAATATTGTTCCTTGATAAAGAGTTCCCCAGTAGCAATATCGTGATCAAAACGGTCTATAGCGGCGTATTAATATCTTTACCGGAAACGTTTGTTTTAGTATTAATTATTGGTTCTTTAAACTTGATGTATATAAATATTTACCTGCTTTTTTTCTACATTACTTCGTTGCAAATTACATATGAAAATCAATTTTTGAGTCATTAGTAGTAGTAGGTAGAGTTTGTAAATATTTCTTTCTATAGGTATATCAATTTAATATAAATTTCAAGCTTGGAGCTTCGTTCTTGACTTTTTGGCTATTTCTCCACCCCTTCCCTGTTGAATCCGTTCAACTGGTGCCCCAGGATGGTCCCGAGTGTTTCAGACTGATTCTGAACATTCCAGAATATTCCAAAACGTTCCGGTATATTCTGGAACTAACTATTGCTCGCGACTTCGTTTGCGTTGACTTCATTTTTGTGCAGCAAAACGGTTTAGGTATCTGCTTATCTTTGATTTAGAAGAAATTGATTTTATGAACTATAAGTATAGTTAAACAAAATCGTAACTAAAGTTACTGCAGTTTCATCCTATGAGTATAAGTTTTAAAATGTCTTCATACGACGTAACTGCAGTAGCTTTAGTTACAAATAAAAGTAGTGAAAAACATAGAAATTCTCATTTCTCATTTTTCAGGAAGTTTTATAGTATTTTCCCAGCAAGTGTTGCTGACTTGCTAGGATCACAAAAAATATGTATTGATGCATTTTCTGCATCGATGATATTCCATCAGTAAGTGATCTCAGAATACTGCATAAACTCAAAAAATGAATTTGTTTCAGCCATAATTCAAATTGTTCTGAAATATTGCTTCTTCATGTTTCATCACAATCAATTTTCAATTCCCGAGTTTTTTAATAACAGTTTCGGAATTAATGTAACCGGACATGAAAGACCAATAGTGTCAAAACTCTATGAACTGCTAACAATAATCATTCGACAAATGATGATTGATTGTAGCTGTTGATGCAAAAGAACTCGTGTTTTCATCTCTGCAGAATCTTTGGTTTCCGGAATAAACGTTAGGCTTGCTCCCACTTCTAACGCTACTGCAGCCTGTCCGAAATCATATCCCATCCACAAATGGAATCTGACGTTTGATGGCAGTACAGATAGATGTTCCATTAATGCTTTTCTGGAACAAATTGAGGAACTCATTCATGCTCGCAATGTTTCAGTGGAAGATTTATTCCGTCCAGCAATCGAACTTTTTGATGGCCCTGCGAAAATATTGTATCGACGTGTTAGATCCAGCGTAAACTCTTGGGATTGAGGAGAGATAAACTCTCTGCTTTGAGGAGAGATTTTCTTCCAAAAGACTCGGACGATGCTTTATGGCACGATATTAGAAATCGAGAACAGAGGCAAGACGAGAAGGTTATTATATACATGGAGAACTTATTTTTCCGGTTAACGGTGAAAGCCATTGAAAAGGAGAAGTTGAAGTTTATCTAGCGCTGCGGCAGATCAATAGTGTGGACCAACTACTGGTTATATGTCGTTCTTTAGAGGAAGCGGGAATAGTCAAGAAATCAGATAAATGCTTTCCATTACCGAAAAGAAAAAATCTTGCCTCCCTAGAGCCAGATTTGGCAGGTTTACCAAATTCTACAAATAATCAACATAAAGAAATTCGTTGTTTTCGTTATAGGAAACAAGGTCATAAGAAAAAAGATTGTTCTGTGAGTGGGAAAAAAGATTGTTCTGTGACCAGAAAAAAAAATAATCACTTGTTTTGGTTGTGGCAAGGAGGGTGTTATCAGGCCCAACTGCAATAATTGTTTAAAAAACGTTCGTCCGAGAGGCGCTCCGTAGATCGGCGACTCTCTAGCAGTAATCTACCTCGGAAGATCTACCATACACACGCTACACCGCTGGGAAAAATGAAAGAAACAACTAGGACGACTATCGAAGAATGGAAAAGCTGGTCAACATTAGTGAGGTCACTTCTTGGTCCTTCATTGTCCCCAAATGAAAAAATACGTGATTTGGAAATTTCCTCAGAAGAGGCAAACGTATTAATGGTCCAGAAAAAATATGATAACAGGCCTTATGTTTATATTTCTATGCCGGGGAAGAAACTATTGGCTTTGTTATATACTGGAGCAAGTCATTCTGTGTTTGGAATGAAAAGCATGCATTTATTTGGTAGAAAAATTCGAGCTAGAAATTTTTCGGTCAGATATGAAGTCAACATTACGACTGCCGATGGAGTACGCCAAAGAATACAGGGATATATGAATGTTCCAGTTCGTATCGAAAATATATTGAGAGTTATACGTGTTCTCCTAGTACCATCCCTAGCACATGGAATCATACTGGGGAGCGATATTTGCCGATCCTTTGAAATCGTTTTGAATTATGGAAGAAACTTCATGTCTATAGGATCAAATAGCCTCGAATTGTGTTACGCTTCTGGGTCTACTTCGTTGCAAGTGAACGAATTGGTTATTCACTCCAGAAGGGCGCTGACGGATAAAGAAAATATACAGCTGGATGAATTCGAAGCCCTATCTTGGATGTCCGGAACTAGATTAGGCCCTACCAATACGGTTTTGCACAATATCGGCACAGGCGAGGCAGCTCCTGTTAAGCAAAGACACCATAATATTTCACCGTACATGTTGTCTCATTTGCATGAAGAATTGAATAACATGTTGGAACTTGGCGTGGTTCGACCATCAAATAGCCCGTGGGCATCTTCGGTTTTGTTGATTAAGAAAGCTAATGGTGAATTCCGCTTATGTTTTGATGGCAGGAAACTCAATAGCTTAACGAAAAAGGATGCCTACCCTTTACCAAGAGTTGACAGCATACTCACTAAATTTACTGGCGCCCCAGGGCTTACTTTTTTTCATCTATTTCCAGTGTAAAAAAAACATATTTTCCTTACTCACGTTCAGCCTCGACAATAATCGACTAGCCTGGGCCAAACTACTTTTTGGTAATTACATAAAAACCAAGGTAGGTTATGGCTTATAACATTCCACCATTACAAAATTCATTTCAACTCACCGACAACAAATTGTGACTTGACTAGTGTTGCCTAACCAAATTATATCAATACTGGACAATGGGCTTTATTTAGTCACTATATTTCACACCATTTTTCTTTGCCACCATTATAACTGGAAGGAACTATGGACTAACTTCCTTGATTATTCCTTTCTGTTTCGCGAATTGAAGAATCCTTAAATTTATTCAAAGGTTTGGTGTCACTGGTATTTATTCGATGCCGAATCAAATTTATTTGCGTTGTTCGCAAACAAATTACGATGATTTTCTGGATTTTCATTCTGCTTCTCTTGTGAACATAATTTCCTCTATGTTTTATTCCATTGTTTTGGTTTTTATCTTTTACAGTCGGTTACTACTGCTACAGATTCGTAGAGGCTTAGCGGGCCGTTTTCATTGAGTGTATATTTTGTGTTCTATAATATTAGAACTTTTTATGAAACATAAAATGAAACATTTGATAGATGATCCAAAATTTATTGAATGGAATAAAACAATTCATGAAGCTTTTCTGCTTTCAATAACTCATATTTGGCAGTAACATATGGTCAATTGGCAAAACCCTCCATATGGTGAGCACTTGGAGTTACATTCTGAAGGTGAGCAGAGTGATGGGTCATGAATGGAAGGGTCTGGGAAACCTATAAAAACAAAAGAATTGTAATGATATTGTCTTATAGCAGTTATAAATGAAATATGTTTAATACTATTGGAAAAGAATAAACAATTGCAGCATTCCTTGAAATATGATTATATCCTAACAGCGTATCAAATTGTGAAATTTTCACCTTTCCTAGCAGCAGTTTCAGATAAATAGCCTTTGAAAATAATACTATAATAATTATAACTTGCCTGAACTGAGGATAAAATTTTCAGGCTATTTCTCCACAAAAAATTACTTTCGTTGAATATCCGAATGTCTATTCTCCAAATTTTTGATAACACTCAATAGAATATCGCTAAACAATTATAGTTGAAGTCAAAGCATTCGTAATCCAAAACAACGATCCCGACTTGTTAGTTGCCTTCTAGTGAAAGTTGTGGTGAAAAGCAGATGAGAGTCTCGTTTGGTGGTCGATAATATAATTTAGGAATCACACGTTGAAAGGTAAGACCTCGTTAATCCTTAGCTCGGACAAGTTTCGACTTCTGAGGGTTGTCGTTCGTAGGGGTGCGACGGCTGGTTAACGGAAAAACAGATTTTAAACAGACAGATTTTAAATATTTGATAATAAAATTTTCAAAAATAGCAAGTATGCTCTGGATATAGTGGAAAACTTTTTAAAAACTGGTGCGATAATAGCCTATCAATCCTGAACTGGGATCTCACTCGAGATTGTGAGAAATGAAGTGAAAATATATAAATTCCAGGTGATTTTGAGATGAGAAAATAGTTTAGTGAAACTTTTAATCTTCTGCCAAACATTTTTTTTTACCGATGATCGATTTTTTTTGAATAGCCATGTAAATAAAATTAATAAATTCAAAACATTTTTGAAGAAGAGCATACTCAACGGCAACGAAAAGTTTTTGTTTAGATTGGCATTTTCGAAAATGTCATTATTAATTCTTCACTATAACCTTTTATTTCACTTGCAATGTTTGTCAGTAGGTATGTTTGTTTGCTTCAAATTTTGCAACTGAATTTTGCCACAACTGATTGAGCTGAAATTTTACATGCGCATTTAGTTTGTATGTTTCTTTTGAGTATTTTCGTGATATGAGTGTTGAATGAAAACATTTGCTGAAAAGAATACAAAAAAATCACTCAAGGCACTTTCAAATCCAATGTGATAGGTCGCCCAAGATGGCAGACTGAATATGGGTTTCGAATGTAAGGGTTTCTTGAAGAATGAGATGACATCACTTTGAATGCCATACGACGGATCCCCAAAAAAAATAAACTTTTTTTAAGCACCTCAATGTAATGAATATCGAGTTTATTCAATGAGTGAAGAATGAATATATAATTACCTGTAACAGCAATGACGAAGGAGATGAGAAGAAAAACAAATATTGTGAGTCTCATGATTGAAACGTTTCAAGTTAGCATGCTTATTCGTACTGAATGCGTTTATATTTATATTGAAATCCATTCGTGACAATAAGGAAAAAATCACCTCTTGAATTCTTGTTGTTTACACTCCGAGATAACCTATATGATCTTACTAATGGTAAAAATAAGTGATGACTGTATTTGAACTTCATGTTTTTCCCATGCCTAAACCAAATCTTAATGATTTGGAGTTTTTCAGTTGATTTAGTTCACTTCGAGTTATGTCGATAAAAATGATAGTAACAGTTCTCAGATATGCTAGAAAGTAAATATTCACCTCTCTCAATGATCATACATAGTAGAATCTGGCTAATGGCTGCCCGAAAACAATTTCCTACCTTTCTGACTAATACCAGAAAACTAGTTTTTTATTACTTTCGACATATTCCGTTATCGGTGGAATCAAGCGGGCTCAGTCAGTCGAACAGTTTTCGTCGAAATAACTATAGAAAAAAGAAGAGTACCTATCCACCTTTTATTTNAACACTGTCATCCTTAATGGCGGACATGGATATTTCGGAGTAAGACACTCATCTTATTGCGTCTCATGTTCGGCATACATTTTGGTGAGAACACAAAGATATTCAAAGTATTTTTTTTATTGAGGGTACCAAATATAGTGACATTACAACTTCAAATAATCCAACAAAAAAAATTAATATAAAATTTGTGAAATAATTCTAATCACTTCGGTTATGTGAATAAACTATTTTCTGAGGTTCATTATCGACAATAACAGATGTTATAGGAGCAATACCCTCCACGTGGGAAACAACGGGAGTTACAGTCTAAGGGATAGCAGATTGCTCTCTCCTGCCTTGAAAAATCTGGAAAACCTGTGAACATAAAAAATGTATTTACATATTTCTCTGGATTTTTTTAGTATTAACAATAAATTTTTCGTAATGTTTTTCTCACATTGAGGCGATAATTGTACGATACAAATAGTATTTTATGAGATGTGACGTGGGATGTGGCCACGAATTATATTTGATTATCAGGTGTATTTCTTTAGAAGGAAAAATTTATGTTTTTTTTCCTTTCACTTGGTTATTGAAAATCTTCACCACTTGCTTACAGTTACATATAAAGTGAGAGGGCCCAGGACTTATAAAATACACAATTAGTTGTTTTTCGCCAATATTCTTTAAGTCACGTAGCGATTTCATTTCTGGAATGAAAAAGTGAAGTCAATGTTTTTGGCTGCTTCTTGAAGGAACATATTTATCCGCGGAACAGCTCATAGAAAGAGCTCTCGATGAAATTTGTAAAAACATTAATCCACATATCACACAATCATCACGAACCCAAAATTACATCTTGTTGGGTTTGTATCTACGAATTGGTAACAAGTAATATACGAGACCAACTTTTAGAACTACTAATATATGTATTTAGATCACTTCTGACACGAGCAAAACCCGAGGGTACAGTTGAAAAAGCGAGTGTAGTTATAATATACCTTGTTCCTGTTATAGGTGAAATGTGGTGAAAAGTTGGAAAGCTTCATTTATTTTTTAGATCGTGAAAGTGTAAATACACAAAAAACTCAAAAGACCCTATTGTATCTTGAATAATAGGTATATTTCGACACAATAAACTTTTTACGATTGTAAAACACCTGCTGCTGTTATTTTATTCTGTACATTCTAAAAGTCTTTTTTCGTACTGTCAATCATTTAAGATACAAATATTTTTAATGAGCTTGGACGATTCCTTATATAATTATCCAGACAATAAAAGCTCCAAAGACCAAAAAAAATTCATCAAATAATCCATTCAGTCATTAAAAAAAAATCTGTTTTTGCGTTAACCAGCTGTCGCCCCCCTACGAACGACAACTCTCAAAAGTCGAAACTTGTGTGAGATAACGACTAACGAGGTCTTATCTTTTAATGTGTGATTTCTAACACGAAGTGAAAATTGATCGTCCGGCCTTGCGGTTCGAACCACCGGTTTGCACAGCGATCAATTGACTGAGTGAAACTGACCGCCCACGTCCACCTACCCACCAGTTTTGATTACTTTGATCAGAACATAAGCGGAATCAAGAAATTTACGTTGTTTATTCAATAGCCTACTTCTAAATATTATAATAGTGAAACATAAAAGCAGTATATGAAATAAATTCTCAACTCATAATTATCGATTTCTGCCTCTGTGATGTATATTTCAAATTTGTTTTCGACAACTGTTGAATGTAACAAAATAAAAAAAAATACCTGTAACAACTAGGATGCAGAAAATAAGGACAACAAATATTATCAGTTTCATATTGAAAACGTTGGAGGACAACATGGTCGTTTGAACTGAATGTTATTGTATTTTCTGTCACATTTATACTGAAATCAACTTCGCAAAAAACAAAAAGTAACTCGTAAACATATTATTTACTCTTCGAGATAACCTATATAATTACTTGAATATGATGAAAATAAATAACGGGTATTTTCTGAGAAGTGAAGTTTCTTATCTTTTCTGGCAGATGTATATTAGTCAACGATAATAATTTGATGGATCATTTTCCACATGTGATTCAACAATACTTCAAGATTTTATAAATAAATTATCATTTTTCAACAAAAATTCTGTTATTTAGCAATTCCATGAGAGCAAACAACATACCACACGACCATAGGACTATTGCTGGTTTCTCAATTGGTGTTGCTCAAAAATAACAAAGTTTGAGTTTGAAAAAATGGGCATTTATCTGAAAAAACTTTTAGGTCGAGTGATATTCATGAAGATCATTTTCAGAAATATTTTACTGAATGCATCGATAAAAAAACAAATTATCAATTTTCAAGTTGAATGAAATGTATTATCTGAATAACGACAAATTTCAGAAAAAAGGCACTTATGATGTTTTTGTTCTCTCTTAAACCAAATTATGTTATTAGAAAACCCCCGTTATTTTCATAGTGAAGTGAGATTTTCTTTACGAATTCATGATGTTAATNAAGGCACATCCTCAGTAGTTTATCATAAAGAGTGGACAAAGACATACCTGCTCCACTCCTCGAAGTCCTTTGTTTCAGTACAAGATTCAGTAGCTATCTTACGTGAACCTCGATCAGGAATTCATCTCTAAGTAAACGGGTCTACAACTCTTCAGTAGCGTTTTCGTTGTTTGGTCTAGATAGCGGATAATTCTCAATCAACTCATTTGCAGATGAACCACTTTCTGTTGCTTTGGACGTTAGGTCCAAAGTGAGTGGGTATATTCGACCCTCCACCGCAACCCGCAAGGGTTTATTGTGGCTCACACCTATTCTCACTCGGCCAAACAAACCCAGCTTCTGAACGAAGCCGATTAGTTTATATGGTGAGTGGTCTTTCAGATCAGATGGTAAGAGTACGGCTCTGCCGAACTCTAAAGACCTGATTCGGTTCCCAGCGGGGCATATACAAAGTATATGCTCTGTCAATAAGGTAGTTGGATAGTCAAATTGCAAGATTCCCACCTTGATACCCACGACAACCTTCCCATATGAAGGTTTTTGCACGTCATCAGCTACACCTGACGATGCCTTAGATTCAGCCGTGGTTTCGCCTCTGGTTTTGGTGAAACCTCACTTGAGCGCAAACGTTTGCTAACCTGTTCATGGCGGGTTGATAAAACTGAGTTTACACATCTTGGATAAGTCTATTCATACTCATCATCACCTCAGGTAATGAAGGTCTTCGAATGAGGTTGTATGGAACAGAATTGCTTTCAGTTCAATAGGCAACAATGGAAAATTCATTGTTTTTCGTTATTTTCGTAATCTCCTTAAAGAGTAACTACCACCGATATATATCACTACAAACGGGGTAGTATCATCAGAAAATTATCGCCATTGTGAATCAGAAAGTGAAAGTGAAAAGACGAACAATCATTAACAATTCGGGATATTGAGTACTTCAGTACGTGCCTTTATCAGTCTGCCAGAAAATAGCAAATTAACTGTTTTTGAGTTCATCAAATTGTGCGACACCATCATCAAAACATCACCTAACCAGCACCAAAAGTGTAAGTCTATTTGAGTTAGATATTTTACATTGATTAGTAAAATCGGTATCGAAATACTTCATCCGAATCTATTCATTTGAAATTGATGAAATCTGAAAAAATAGTTTCTCTATTTGCCCTATCAGTCTTAAAAATATATGATCGATATGTTTCCAAAATAGTCACCCTTTCCATATGAAAATTCCAAATGAAAGAATTTTGAAAAAGTGTGGTTACAGATTAGTTGCACTTACGTAGAGGTAATTGAAGGAAAGAGAGAAATAGCCAATCTTTCTGTATTGAGTTTGCTTTTGATGATTGAGTCTCCAATTGAATAGATAGGTACTCCTCTCCACATAGAATCAAGCAGCCACAGGTTATGGGAAATCAATAGTTCCTGAGGTGTGCACAAAAGTTTCATTTTCCTGAGGAACGTGCTTGTTCCAATACAGACCTGTATCTAATTTGGCACCTAACAAATTAATCAACGGAATAGCGCCCTGATATTCTGATGACCGATTCCGCTACATTCTTCTTCTTGTACCATTGGAATTTACTTGGTTTCTGTGACCCTAATCCAATAATTTCTCCATATCTCCATCAACATATGAAACCTCTTGAACACTTTCCGTTAAAGTATCTGTAGAAAAGAGACAAATTCCCAACCATTCTTCGATGTTCCAGACTATCAAGGTTGCAAGTGATGTTCGCGTCTCCAATCAGGGGAATGTCTCTGTCGTTAGCAAAACAATATATTGGATTCTTCTATTCTTCCAATGAGTCGTTGATATACAATCAAAATAGGGTTGGAAACGATAAGTATCCCTGGGTAACACCAGCGTTTTTGTTAAAAGTATTCGAGAGATATCCATCGACGACCACTTACAGGGAACGTTCTTTCAGGAAGCTAGAGAGCCATATACAAAAATGATCCAACAAACCATAGCATCGAAGTTTCGCCAGCATACCCTCATGCCACACATGGTCAAATGCCTCAGAAATATCAAGCGCATCAGCCCTTGATTCTCCATGTTTTTCGCTTGCGTTATTCCAAATATGGGTGACATACGATAGAAGGTCGCCTGTTGATTTTTGTTTCCGAAAAGCATATTGATGATCGCTCATAAAATAAAAGCCCTCCAAATATTTAAGTATATTATAGTTCACGGCTTTATCCATGATTTTTGATGCCACTGATAGCAAGGCGACTGGTCTATAGATATTTTGTAGATTTTTTGCCACACATTAGGAATACCTGAACGCGAGCAATCTTCCAATAAGAAGAAAGATCCTCTCTCTTGTAATACAGGTTGTAAGTCTGCAAAACATTGGTGCGAGCTCATTTGCACACTTTTTGAGTACGATGACGGGCACTTCATCAGAACCAGCATTGGGACTCTGATGAATAGGATTATCGAATTAGAATCGCTTCAATTCGTGTCTAAAATGTGATGATAGAAATCTATTTTGGCACTCCCATAAATCGTTTCGCGATGTAGAATTGCTTGTCGAGAAAGTCCGGCAAATTCAAGGGGAATTTTTTATTTTTATGGAAGTATACTTTATATAGGATTTGTAGAAGAAGAAAGTTAGGTTCTATAGGTTAATGGTGAAAGATTTTTGAGTTTTATATTTTATCATTATACAAGATAAGATGCTACCCCACTTACGTGTTGATGAAGAGCGAAGGATGGTGTTGAGAAATTTTCATTTAGAGAGAAGAACGATGAGGTTTGGCTCTGATCCATTCCAATTAGTTGATGAACAATTTGTAGAACTTTTTCGATTGAAAAAGGATATGGTACATTTTTTAATTCAAGAAATATCGCCCCATATGTACCACTCGACACGTTATAACGCAGTACATTCAAATATTAGAATATTTGCAGCTCTTGTTTTTATTTGGAACTGGCAGTTACCAAAGAGTAATTTGACAATCCTTCATTTTATCTATTGCTCAACAAACTGTTACTAAATGTATCAAGGAAGTAACTTCATTAATCGTTGAGCATCTTTCAGAAAGATTTATTAAATTTCCTCAAAACAATGAGTTGGGAAATCAAATAAAAGAAACATTTATGGCACACACAGGATTTCCAGGAGATGTAGGGGCAATAGATTGCACTCATATAGCTATTATAAGACTACGAGAAGAGGAACACAATTACTTGAATCGGAAAGGGTACTATTCAAAAAATGTACAAATTGTAAGTATTTTTCAAGAAATTTATATTTTAAATTTTCTCTACAATTCTAGCTGTTTCAAATTTGTGATTATAATTTGCGAATACTCAATATTAACGCGAGATATCCAGGTTCTTGACATGATTCATTTATTTGGCGAAACTCCATAATTCAAGATGAATTTAGGCAATGTTATGCTGCAGGTGATCATCATAGTTGGTTGTTAGGAGATTCTGGTTATCCTCAGCAACCTTGGCTCATGACCCCAATTTTGAATCCACCCTTCAATATTCCTGAAGAGACATACAATGCAAGACATGCTTCAGCAAGGAATTGCATTGAATGATGCAATAGAGTTATGAAAGGGCATTTCAGGTGTTTGATGTCCGAAAGAAAATTACGTTACTCTCCAGATTTTGTTGGCAATATCGCAATAGCTTGTGGAATTTCACATAATTTGTGTATTGCTGGAAATATAGAAATTTCAGACCTTATTAATGGCATTCCAAATCAACCACTTCCTCTAGATGATAATTTGAATCCTTAATAAATAAATAAATAAATAAATAAATCAGAGTTTCAAAATTCGCCTGATTAGATGCACGACATTGTGGATCCTAATGTGGAAATAGTGGGTAGTGCCTTTTCTAGAAATTCGACTGTGGAGTGGGACACAAATTGTTCAGCTAGTAGATTTGCTTTCTCTATGGCTGTTGTTGTAATTGAACCATCCGGTTGTGTTGGTGATGGAATTGTGGATTTTGTGAAGTTTTGATTAACAGCTTTAGCTACCGACCCGTTAGTGAAACAAAATAGATTTTCGAAAAATTGTGTTCTCTTTCTGTTATGTGTGCTAACCCAAAAATCTGATGATTTTATATGACTCATCTGAAATGGCATTTGTAAAGTTGTAATAGTTTGTGGTACTCATATTTACACATATTAATGCAACATTCTCGTTTGTATCCATTTGAATTTCTGTTGAAAACTGAAAAGGAAATATCAATGGAATTGTGAATATTTATAACTTGAAATGATAATCATAAGTATCCTTCGAAAATGAAACAGGCAACATCAATGAATATCTGAACTCATTCAGTTGAGAGTGTCCTGAAAACTCGAAACTTCTATTATAATTGCTTTGTATACAATGTATTCGAAAAAAAAACTTCATTGTGAGAGTTTCACTAAACAGTTTCATGGAAATGCAACACGTGTTTT